GTCTGTCTGTCTGTCTGGGGGTAACATGCCCGTCTCTAGGTCTTCTGGCAAAGAATCAAGACAGCCACAGCCAGAAAACCAGTCAGTCACAAACAGCGCCACGCGCCTCCTCCCTGACTGCGGGCCCAGACAGAAGCCTGCCAACTTCTACTTCCTGCAGCCGCCAGCTGACGGAGAACCCAGCAGCAATCCTGCCCACATATAAGACAACGCTAAGATTAGGAATTTGTGTTTTGGTCGTAGGGACTGAGTCGAGGGGCGCTCTACCACTGAACTATCTCCCTGCCCCCCCCCCCGCTTTTATTTTGATACAGGATCTTGCTAAAATGCTCAGACTGGGCTCAAACTTGCAACCTTCCTGCCTCATTCTCCAAGGTGGTTGGGATTACAGGTGTGTACTTCCACAGTATTTGAAGCTAAGGTGTTTGAGAAGAGAGCTTTATGTTATTTCCCACATTTATAAACACTCAGAGAAAGTAAAGTGGGAAATTCTTTGAAATACAATGGAATGTCATGAGAAAAAGAGGTAAGCCCCAAGGGGGCATGCAATTCAACTGACACCCACAATTTATGGGAATAAAAACTGCAGCCAAAGTTTCCAAGCCAGAAGAATGCAGAGGTGCTTTCAAAGGTCCTGCCATGCAATCAGCTCAGCAGTGACCACAGCAGCTGTTCAGCAAGGGCTCTCGGCATCGGCCAGACACAGGTGTCTCATTTAAACTGTATGTTAGCATCCTTCTTCCGAGACAAGGAAAGGGACCCAGGGTAAAGAGTGCTCACAGACACAGGGCTGGTAAGGGTTGGAGGTAGAATGTACACGCCAGGCCTGCGGGGACCCTGCATGCAGCTGCACTGGCCTCTATGAGGCCCACCTGATCTTGTACCTGGCTGAGTTCAGCACCTCCCCTCTCCCCAGTATCTACCCAGAGTAACCTGGCTGGTCCTGGGAATCACAGAAGCTGTCAGGCATGGCTGCCTAGGAGACAGTCACGCTGGAGTGAAAGAAACACAGGACACCAATTTGTAATCAATGATTTTTATCTTGGAAAATGGAAGCAAGTGTTTTGACAGAACACTATGGCTGCTCTATAAGAGCCGATCTAGGAGTAATTCACTGTCCTCCTCCAGGATGTCACGGCATTTTAAAAAAGAAGATGAAGACAAAACAGGAAAGATAATCCACAATGCTTCAGGTGTCTACTTCAAGCCTGGCCGGGCATCCATCCATTAAATATACACCAGAAGCTGACGCTGAGGTTAGGTGACTTCTGCTTTCTCTCCCTCTTTGCTTTAAACCATGTTCCTTGTGGCATTTCACCATCATCCACAGCGGATCTGTTCACTTAATTTGATATCAGAACATTAACACATGTCTGAATCCTTAGGAGAGTACATTGATATAGAAATAATGTAGATTTGACTATAAATCACTGTAATTGCTTTGTGTATCACTGTCCACTTCAATATTAAAAACACACACAAACACAAAACCACATCAGACATTCAGATGCCCTGAAACTGGAGACAGCAAGCCCGTACTGTTAGCTATGAATGGGTCACTCCTCTAGGTGCACTGTGCCTGGCTGCCGCCCAACCCACTCTGTCCCACTTCCTGTCTGTTTATGCGTCCACACCAGCCCAACCCGATGCCAAAGAACTCCTTGCGCGCTCGCCATGGACTATACAGGTCACGTTCACCCAGACACTGTTCTTTCCACACAGAAGCTCCTTCAGTCTGGCTCTGCAAGCATGCAATCCAGGAAGGTGGGTGGGGGGCAGCTCCCAGCTCCTGGGAATGGGCAGGACACCAGTGCGCACTCTGTGGCCCCTTCGAGTCCATGGAGCCCCTGTGCTTGGACACAACCTCAGTGTGAGCTGGAGAGGAAGGGCAGGTGGCTCTGCATGGAGGACACAAAGGGATGTCTGCACATGTCCGAGGGGCACAGAGATCTGCGCTCTCATTTTTGCTTCCTTCTAGCCCATTCGCCTGAGTCTCAACATTCACTAGTGCCTTCTGGCCTTGTTTTGAAGGGTGTGATTAGGACTGACATGCAGGAAGACAGGCAGGACTGGCGCGAAGAGGAGGGAGGGCAGGAGCTCTGGGTGCAAGGAGAGCTGCTGCTCCTCAGCACAGCCCAGGGACAGCACAGGTCAGGTAGGAAACGGAGGACCTGGGAAAGGCTCCCTGCCACACTCCCTGGCGTAGGCCCCGCCGCTGCGCTTAGGCGCTGGGCACACTGCTGAGGTGGGCAGGAGGGACACTCAGCACTGTGTGCAGGCTCCTGTCCCAGGCGCCCTTGTCAAGGACCGACCAAAGCCTGGGCCATGGGTTTCAAAGTGATGAATGTGACAGACTCTGTAAAAAAAACTGCAGAAACACATGCTAGTCTGGGTCAGATTATAATCATCTGAAGCAGGGGATCAAGAAGCAAAATTGCATCCTGGTACAACCACCCAATTTCTAGAAAAGGGAAAGGAAAGCAAGGAAGAAGTAAGATTTGAGCTTTTTTGATCAGAAGACGCAGGAGCGAGGGGTAGTAATGTGGGTCCACATGATTTTTCAAGTCTTCCTTTCATACAGTCATAAGATGACCAGGTTCATGCTGCAGCTGAGCCAGCACCATGTGGCTACTGCTCTGAGTGTTCTCAGATGAATGTTTATACAAAATAATATCTTCGTTTAGTTTATAAACATACACAGTGCTGTCCCTTTCAAATTAAGGAAAAAAAAAAAAAAACCACACAAATACTGCAAAGTAGCAAAATACAAAGAAAAACAAGCTACTTTTGGTTTTGGCAACATTAAAAAAAAGAAAAGAAATATAAAAAGCAATGTGGCATTGGTCCCTAGTCATTTAAAAAAAAGGTTCTTGGGCACGACACTGAATCAGAATTGGTGTGTTTTCTAAAATTCAGGATATCTGGGATTTTAAAAGTAGCACTTTTGTCTTTTAAAAGTTCAACAAGTCACATAACACTTAAAACATCAAAAAAGCTTTCTGATAAAAAGCTCAGCTTCTGTTTTGCAAATTTGGGAGACGAATTGAGTTCTGACTGGAATGTGGCCTATCGCTGGTGGACAAATCTGAAATGGAATGTCTCCAAATGGCAGTGCCTCCCTTTCCACCCTCCCTAGGACCACACCAACGACCAGCTACCAAGCACAAGTTCTTGCTCCCATTTTTTGGAGGGGTGGAGGTGGGATCTTCAGGCTGCTATCTTCGCCATCTGCTGTTCTAACTTGGAAATACGCTCATCTTGATTGCAGATTGTATCTTTAATAGATTTAATTTCTTTTAAAATTTCATCCAACTTGGCTTCATTTTGCTAAAAAAGCAAACAAAAAGGGGTAGTGACTAAAGAGTAGTAAATAAAATCCAACACAGTTCTGGCTATAAGACTTAAAATATAATATTCTATTTTGCAAATGGCAAACAGAATCTCCAAATCAAAAGATGAGTCAAATCCCATTGTCTCATAAGAACACAACGGATGCTGGCTGAAACCCATGGTATAAGAGCTGTGCTTCACGTGCTCCCTCTGCCCCTGCCTGTGACTCAGCAGGCAAGGACTCCCACAGGTGGAAAACTGCAGGCAAGACTGGACCCGAAAAGATCCCCGGCCCCTTCTCCCAACCATCCCACACCAATCGAAGCCTATGGGGGGTGACGCGCTCAGAGGCTGCAGGGCTCACTCCCTCTCTGAAGAGGGCCTCTGGAGTAAAATCCCTGCCTGTCTGCTGACTCTTCAAGAGGACTGAGCTTCTCTCACTTGACAGAGATTCTTCTGGAAACCTCACAGTCAACAAAACCCATGGAGCTGGCTCCTCAGTCATGGTCCAAAAATGTCAGCTCCTATAGGTAGGTGCTCTTACCTTCTCGGAACAACTCACCCTCCTTCCAGGGCCTATCTTCTGTGGCACCAGGCATGGCAGTGTTGTCCAGAAGCCACGACAGGTGTTCAAAAGCAGGCTGGGCCCCCTCCCCGCCACCGATGGCTCTTGCCAAGCTCACGTGCTGCCAGCCCCATGCTGCCAGACCACTAGTAACACCTAACTCCTCCCATATCCTCCCTCCAGGACACGTCTCCTAACTCTTATGATCCTGCACTCCCATGTCAGACTTGGACCAAACCACAGGGGCAGGCATGGTGGCATACTCCTGAAATAAGTCCAGCATCAGGAGGTTGAGGCAAGAGAATCACTGCAAATATGAGGCCAGCTGGGCTACACAGGGAATACAATGGCAGCCCAAACTGCATAGGGAAACCCTGTCTCAAAAAGACACACACACACACGTACAACAGAAAGACAGAGAGAGAGAGAGAGAGAGAGAGAGAGAGAGAGAGAGAGAGAGAGAGAGAGAAAAGCCCACATCCTGTTTGCTCTCAGAGATAATGGGAGTCTGGCATCTACCCCAGTCATTATAAGGCCCAGAGTTCTAGGAACCAAGAACGGCCAGAAACTCACTGAGTCACCTGCCCTAGGACTTTCTCACATGCAGTGTGTGGGATCAAGTACCAAAAACGCCTGTGTGTCAACCCGATGTCAGGGCTCCATGCCCAGGGCCACCCAAGGCTTCCGAGAGGAGCAGGCCTGAGCAAGCCAAGCACAGCCCGCACTGCTTACCACGCTGGCCGGGTCTGCGGTTTTCTTGGGGACAGTGATCAGGTCACACTTCTTGTTTGCAGCAGGCTTGCTATCTAGGATGTTTTTCTTGACTACTTTTAGATCCCTGTTTTTGCCTGGAATGTATCCATGTTTCAAGGAGATGAGGATTGGATCTGCATTCTTCCCCTCAAACCACTCTTCTGCCTCCAGGGCAGCTTCGGGCCCTGCTGTGTCAGGATACAGGTCATCTTGGAAAAGATCAGACTGCAAGAGACATTTGGGAAACCTTCCATAAGAATGAAGATGAAAGGCGTGGATTTTTAAAAATATGAACTGCCCAGAAAACGGGGCACTCACCTTCCTAGGAACAGTCATGATAATAGGCTCACACTTTCTCTCATGAAGCTTGAAGAATCTTCAAAGGGAAAATAAAGGCCAAGTTATAAGAAGTGAAACTGAGGCTGAGTAACAGGACTAAAAACTACTTTCCTGCAGTGGAACATGGGAAATGAAGCACTTCTCCCTTCACCTCATCGGAGCCTGGAAGTGGTAGGATTTAGTTCCCATTTTACAGATGAAAAAACTGAGGCTGAGAATGTCTGTGCCAGACAAACTGGAGACAAGAACCACAAGGAGAGTTCTGTGAATTATGACGACAGTCAAACTAATTATCTGGCCACTCATTACTAGTGTTGTTATTATAGTGGAAATAGCAACACTGGTAATGAGCTACTTTTGAAAGTTACCTGTCACCAGACCCAAGAGATCACACATCCTAATCTATGCCCTGGATGCTAGGTATTTTGCAACTTGAGGTGGCTGAACATCTGCTAAGTATAAACAGGGTTTTTAAAAAGGAAGAAAAAAAAAAAGCAATCCTAGGAAGGAAGATTTTGGCATCGAAGCAAACCACATCATGAAAAATGTGAAATTATCCAAAATATGGAAAAGGCAAGACTATAAAACAACTATTATCTTGAGAGCTTGTTTGGAGGTTCCAGCAGGGGAACGCAGCTACTTGTACACCCTGACCGAGGAACGGTCCTCCTCTATTGGGTAGTCGTCCTCTTCGACTTAGCACGCAGCTTCGGGAGGGACACACATGGATCGTTGAGGGGGGAAGGGGACACCCGCCTAGCCAGCCCAGTCGGCTGAATCAACCCTGGCGATCAGTGGGGTGACAGATGTCGCAGCCAGATCGTCCTCACACCCAAAACAACTATTATTGTTGGTTCTTTTTTTTATTTTACAACAAACAAAACCAGAAACTACTTCTGATGAAGGTGATAGGGCAAGCCAAAGATGGGCAATGACCCAGAGTTCTCACAAGTTCTTGGCAAGACTGGCACCGCATGAGGTTCTGACCAGACTGCTGGGTGGGGCAGCTGCAACACAGCGAGGAGACGCACAGGCAGGTGTGGGCACCACCAAGGAAGCAAGTCTGCACTTGGGTAAAACGGAAGCTGAGCACCGCTCTGCTTGCTAAAGGTTCTCGTAAAAGTCTTTTAATACCTACTGACTATTTCATCAGAAAGGTCATGGATAAAGCAAAACCGCTTTTAAAGATTGATTAATGAAAACTCTGCAGGCAGCACAGATGTGAAAAGACTGACTACTAGCGCTACTATCACAACCTCTCAGAGTAGGACGACTTTACCACGGCTCAAGCCACTCATCCTTAAAATGTGGACAAAAATCACACCCACCTCAAGAGGCTATTATGAAAAGTCAAAGTCCTATAGCATGGTCAGCACAGAGCCCAATGTACAATTAATGCTCAACAAACAGGAAGTGTCCTGCGTTCCTAAATATTCGATGTAGTCTTAAAATTAGATTCAATCTGTTCTGAACCACATTTTGATGAGGTTCACAACACAATTTAAAATTATCTTTGACAGCTTTCAATACTCCAACTATTATTAAAAACAATGTTAATAAGAGCTCATAAAAATCTGTTGACTATTATTTTTTAAAATGTAAGTATTAATTCTTAACCACATGACCAGAGCAGTCAATTTTTTGTGGCTTTTTTTTTTTTTTTTTTTTTTTTGTGGTACCAGGGATCAAACTCAGGACCCTGCGCTTGCCAAGCAAGCACTTATTCCACTGAGCTATCTCCCCAGCCCTTGTGGCATTGTTTTGATGCTAGGAATTGAACCCATGCAAACTTTAAAGTGTGTATAACTTCATGTTAAAATAATGTGTGACATGAAGACATACCTAATAGTGCGATGCTAGTCTGTTGCTTTAAATGGCCAGCGGCCACTAAGTCTCAAAGAGTATCTTTTGACTACTGTGAAAAAAAGTGCATCCCTAAGAAGTTCATTAGTCTTGAAGGATATAAACAAGAGAAGTGCAGTGGCAAAAACTATTATGACACAGTGGAACTTGCTAAATCAAGCTAACCTCATGCCCTACTGTAGGTCACTGACTTGTCTAGCTTAGGGCAAAAGGTCTCCCCTTTTCTTATCCCAGATCCAGGTTCTCACCTGCTTGCCCACCAGAGAACACGGGCTACAACCTCAGCTTATAGTCAAGAGCTAAGGTTTTATTATTTCTGTGAGCTATGCCCCTTAACTGCTATAACTCTGGTTGAACGGGCAGGAAATAAGGTATTAATTAATTCCATGCCACACACAAGCATAGACTGACTTGGGCATCATAGAAGTACTAATAGTTGTACTGCTCTGGTATTGCATGCATGGAACAAACAACTGAAATACTTTATCATAGTGAATGTTTACCTGGCAATCTCACATTTGTTAACATCAAGTCCCCTCTTGGGCATATAACCCATTCCTCTCTGAGGCTCCTTGCTGCTGAACGTGTTGAGGTAGTGGACATATGGGGATTCATCCGTGATCTCAAAATAGCGGATACTACTGTCACCCTATAAGAAATCAGAGACAAATGAGTATTTAATGTTAACTGAAACAGCTGGTTTAGGTGGGTGTCTCCTTCTTCTATAATCCTAGCATGCATAGGGAGCTGACTTCAGTAGCTTACCTTTTCTTCCTCATAAAAGGCCTTGTCTAAGTAGATAACAGCTCCTTTTCCTTGAAGATTAATCTCTGACTACTTATCAGTCACCCAGCAGGCCTTTAAATGGACTCCTGTGCCTCCTCTTGAGGACTAATTTTATTCTAACGAGGACTGCTGGACTGTAACTGCTGATTTAAGGATTTGCTCACTGGCCCAGGTCAGGTTCGCCGACAGACTCAAGGGCATTAACACCAGCCAACCAAATGATAAGAAAAGGTGAGATTTTTCTATTGAGAGACTTGAATTTTTATATCCTTTTAACTTCAGAAAAAAGTTCCAAATGGCATGTATAAAATTCTATAATTGCCTAGTTTAAAATGGTCAGATTTTTTTGAGACCTGAAGCTTCAGATACATATTATTCCAAGTGTAAATAAATATTACATAGTTACACCAATCTGAACAATGAAGACAATCCTATCTGGGATGGAATAAACACATGTGCACACATGTGCATATCCGAACTTGCACATGCATGCCTGTAAACACACACACACACACACACACACACACACACACACACCCCTAAAGAGCTGGGCAATATTAGGTCCTAACAAGGCTCTTTGTTCTCATGGTTTCCATTTGTTTTAATCATTCAAGAATTTAAAGCAATGAAAAAGGAGCTAGATACCTACAGCCATTTTCTGTATACTCAAAACAATATTCCCCTCTGAGTTAATACTCCCTGGGTAAACTTCATTGTGTTTCTGATGCAGTCTACGGCAGCAATGGCAAGGCTTATGTACTACTGAACAGCTGCAATAAAGTGACTTTTAAGGAAACAGATAAACTCTCAGATTATAATTAATTGACCTTGAAAATGCAAAGTGGGGGTTTGGGGAGATGGCTCAGTAGAATAAGCACTTCCCTGGCAAGGGCAAGGATCTGAGTTCAATCCCCGGTTCTGGGGGGAAAAAAAAAAATAACAGAAAAGAAAATGCAAAGTAGTTCTGCAACAAGTGTAGGGACCACATCAAGAGCTCCTTTTTTTGTGGGGAGGGTTGGTAAGTGAACTCATGACCTCGTGCTTGCCAGGCAGGCACTGTGCCACTGAGCACATAATAGTAAAGCTACCGATGGTTTATTAAGTTGAGGTCATAAGGAAAGAGGAAGTGTTTTGAGTTCAGAGTAATACCTTCCTGTAACAGCTGTCACCCCCAAAACTTTAGTCAGGCCATGTCCATGTATCTTTAATCCCTAATCCTGAGCCTCAAAAGGTCCCATCTACCCAGGATGGGTTTCTCTTACCAGCCATGGCACAAGGTCCATTAGATGTGGCAAACCTGTTACCCATCCCTAATACCAATGCAGAAGGGTCTAAAAATCACCAGTGGTGCAGCACTACTACATGAAAAAAAGATGCCAGGATGTCCTATTTTTCCCAGCAGAGTGCCCTAAATGAAACCCTCCCTCAGCACCTACCCCAACACCCAGCCCAACCTGACTCAGTCACCAGTGCTGAGTACATGTGCCATCATCACACAATAGCTGGCCCAGCTTCAAGCCAAAAACATACCAACATCAGCTGCCCTTATTTATCTAGCTTGCCACACAAATAAATTAGACAAATTAAAACACATAATACATTGTCCATCTTCTAAATCTCTACAGGACAGGTATTTCCTCTTGCAGGATTTAATTTAAAATCAAATATCAAAATTTCTGCTTACCTTTCCACATAAGTAAATGATACTGGTGTCAGGATCATAGAAAGGTAGCAATACCCCATTGCTCGTGTCCATTTCATGAAGAGCAATTGGTTCTTCCATATTTTTCTGAGAAAAAATACGTACACATCTTAAAAAGGCAAATTTTGTAAGTTTATTATATACTCTGTAAGTAACTAAGCCAGCTTCCCAAAATAATCTAAAATTTGAATAATATACATATAATCTTCATACATACAATACCAATAGAGGTCAAACTGACTGAAAATTAAGCTGATTTGATCATATAATGAACACACACATTCATGTGACTCCATGACAAAAATGAGAATGTGCTTTTCCTTTTCAATTTGCTTTTTAAAAGTACCTTTTCTCATTTTACATAAATACATGTATACTTTAAAAATCTAAGGACATAAAGCAAAGGAAAGTCAGCCCATCTGTAATCTCAGCATTCAGGAAGCTTGGAGGCAGGAGGATCACCATGAGCTCAAGGCCAGCCTGGCTACATTGCGAGACCCTGCCTTAAAAAAAAGGGAAAGTCAGCCCACATGCCGTAAGCCCCGTAACCCCACAGTTCAGTGGGCGGCAGACAGTCTTCTGTTTCCTTACATGCTTGGCGCTGCGTGCACTGCACTCCCACTACGCTTCAGCAGGATACACACTCAAAGCTGGAACTGTGCCATCTACACCGTCAAGGCTTTTTCCTCCCACTTATGCTCGTCATAAATATTTCCCCAACCGAGACTATTCTGGATTCTTTCAAAAGTTTTTATGAGGCAGGATCTTGCTCTGTAGTTCAGGCTGGCCTTGAACTCATGGTGATCCTCCTGCCTCAGCCTCCCAAGGGCTGGGATTACATGCGTGCACCACCATGCCCAGCTAGGACTATTCTGATTTAGATATTTGATCAGTGTTTATGAAATAAAAGTTTTGTATCATATTTTCCAAATCTAAAATGCAGTTCTTTAAAAAAATATATAGTCGGGGCTGGGGAGATGGTTCAGTAGAATAAACACTTGCCTGGAAAACACAAGGGCCTGAGTTCAATCTCCAGTTCCGCAACACACACACACACACACACACACACACACACACACACACCCCTTGAGAATATCAAGAATATATTTGCCTATAAGTCCTCAGTGAGGCTGAAAGCTTCATATCTAATTTAAGACAGCAGGAGTCTGCAAGACTACACCAAGACTCCTATGATCCACTACTAATCTAGCACCCAGTTCAGAAGACAGAAAAGGCCAGGCAGCTCAAAAGAAAACGAGCTGGAAGGCAGGCAGGGAAGGGGCATACCGGATTCCAGAGTGCCAGCTGCCGCTCACTCATGCGGCTAAAGCCAGTGGTGAAGACGTTGCCATCTGCCAGGAAGATGGCCCTCATGGGCCGAGCTCCTTCGTGTGCTTTCTCCTTCTCCTGGGAGAAACAGAGAGACAGCAAAGAGGCACGATGAGCACATTCAAACTGCATGAAGGAAAGGTGGGTGGGGAAACGCAGCACTGACCCCAACTTCATCCCGGATCTGTGTTCTCCTACACAGGTAGACAGTGTCAGGCACCTGTCTTCCTTCCCACATGAGAAAACAAATGGACATGAAGTGATCTGGTCAAGGTCCCCAGCTAGTTAGCAAGCAAGAGCATCAGAACTGAACCCAAAACTATACTCTTTCCAACATATCCTGCTGCTAACCAAAGTCCATGCACTGCAAATATAATATACACAAGGAGTCTGCCAAGTGTTTTTTTCTCAAGAGGGTTATAAAGAGGATTAAGGCACAGCCCCGGGGTGCCGCACCCAGCCCCCTGCCCCACACCACCATGCTGTCCCGCCTGCTCAAAGAACACCAGGCCAAGCAGAACGAGCGCAAGGAGCTGCAGGAAAAGAGGAGGCGAGAAGCCATCACTGCGGCGACCTGCCTGACAGAAGCTTTGGTGGACCACCTCAATGTGGGAGTGGCCCAGGCCTACATGAACCAGAGAAAGCTGGACCATGAAGTGAAGACCCTGCAGGTCCAGGCTGCCCAATTTGCTAAGCAGACAGGCTAGTGGATCGGGATGGTGGAGAACTTCAACCAGGCACTCAAGGAAATCGGGGATGTGGAGAACTGGGCTCAAAGCATTGAGCTGGACATGCGCACCATTGCCACCGCCCTGGAGTATGTCTACAAAGGGCAGCTGCAGTCTGCCTCCTCCTAACTCTCCTTCCTCCCCCTCACCTTGCCATAGGGGCAAGAGGGACACTGATGGGTCATGAATAAAACACAGCATCCATTAAAAAAAATAGAAAAAATAAAAAAATAAATAAATAAAGAGGATTAAGGCTGGGTACAGTCAACCCCTTCCTTAACTTCATCCATTTAATCAGAGTGCACTGATACCCACTTTGCGAATGGTTGGTGAAGAAGACTACACAGGCTGGGGAGATGGCTCAGTAGAATAAGCGCTTGCCTGGCAAGCACAAGGGCCTGAGTTCAATCTCTGGTTCCGCAAAACAAACAAACAAACAAACAAACAAACAAACAAAAAAACAAAACGCTGCACAGGGCCACATGAGCCGCCAGGGCTCAGGAAGCACTACCCATGACGCTAACCCGACCTTTTATAAATAACACTACCAGTTGGTTGTGGCGGTACATACCTGTAATCCCTGCACTTGGGAGACTGAGGCAGGAGGATCACTGCAAGTTCAAGACCAGCTTGGGCTACAAAGTGAGCTCAAGGCCAGCCTGAACTATACAACAAGACCCTGTCTCAAAAAGACAGGAAGGAAAGAAAGAATGAACGGACAGACGGACAGGAAGCAAGCAAACAAACAAGCTGCCAAGACCACATGCACTTGAGGAAGGAGTCGGGGCATAGCTAAAGTGAGGCATTCTTGGGTTCAACACGTGACAGTTTTTCTTTGCTTATTTGTTTGTTTGGTAGAACTGGGGATTGAACTCAGGCCCTTGCGCTTGCCAGGGAAGCGCTTATTCTACCGAGCCATCTCCCCAGCCCCAACAGTTTCAATCCTCTGCCAGTTTGGAAGAAACTAAGACACTGGGCCAGGGAGAGAACTGCAACAATCATTTGGGGAACAGTGGCAAATCTGTTCATCAATACTCAGTACTAAGTCCTACGACTAGGAATGTAGTCTGGTTCAGTTAATCCAAACTTCTGAATTCTTTTTTTGTTTTCCAGCACCAGGATCAAATTCAGAACCTAAACTTCTAAATTCTTAAGGATGCTAGCGATTTGATAAAAACTATCTGTTTGTGTTGTTTACCAAGGAAGACAGGAGAGATGAGTCAAGGCTACAAATATATAACTCTAGAAAGAGATGTGATGGGGATGGTCAGCAGCCTGTGTAAGCTTTCCTGCGCATTTTGCACCTGTGCAAAATGGCCAGAATTGCTGCCTGCTTAAAAACAGGGAGTTCACAGGCACCAATGAACTACAGCCACTGGGCGAATACTCACAGCAACAATCTCTTGCTTCCTAGGATCAATTACTCTCACTTTCTTGTCTTTGGAAGCTGTGCAGATCAGACTGCCATTCCGGTTCCAGCTCACGTTGTAAATCATGTCTGAATGCATGTCATCCAAGTTTATAAGGGCTTCACCTGTCCCCACATTCCAGATGATGATGGCATTATCACAACCTGAAACAAGCAAATTAGCCCCCCCAGAGATTAGAAACACCTGTGTAACAAGTCCAAGAACACTATGACCACCATGAGAGCATTTATAACTGCACAGAAAGGAAAGTGCTCTACTAACTTGGAGACTGAAATGACAAGGAAAAGATCTGTGTATAAGAAAAGTATGAAAAGGAAAACACAGCTTGCTAAGTTTGGGTTCAAGAGACAAACAAAAACCAAGAACTATGCCAAAATAGAAACTTTTTTTTCCCCAGAGTTAACTGGGCTGGTGGACCTGAGTCATTTCAAGTTTCCTTTTTTAGTAAATCAAACGTCAGAATGAATACGGCAGCTTATTTCTTTTCCAAGAACTCTGGGTGGCAAACATTCAAATCAGTGATGTTGTGAGATATGGCCTAGGTCTAGAAAAGCTGGTAAATTACAATGATACAACGAAATGCAAGGACTGACCCACCTGCGCCCCATAGATCTTATCTTTAAAAGAAAAGGAAAAATAGGCTAAGAGTGGCTGGATCATGGTGAGAAGCCCAAACTACTCAAGTAGGCATGCAGATTAAGAAGACGGTGCCTAAAGAGGCCATAACCCCTCAGCTGATCAATTCTACCCTCCCTCCTTCCTCCCGTTCCTCCCTCCCTTCCTTCCCTCCTGGCTCTGCCCTTTAAAGGGAAGAATCAGCCAGGAGCATGGGGTACATCTCCCAGGACTCTGGGAGGCTGAGGTAGGAGAATATCAAATTCAAGACCAACTTGGGCAACTTGGGGAGAGCCTATCTCAAAACATAAAAAGGGGCTGGGATATACTTCAGTGCCAAGGTTCTGGGTTCAAGCCCCAGAAGTAGGGGCAAAACCAAAGGATCATGTGTTGCTTTTGGGACATCAGTTCATGAGTACAGCAAAATAAGGGAAAAACTATGGGGAATTATTGACAATAAAGCAATTTTGTAATTGCTTTAGAAAAATTAGCCACTAATACATATGATACTGTACACAAGTTACCCAAGAGCAACTGCAGAATAGTACAGAAAGTTGCAGCTAAACTCAGAGACAGAGAACTGACCCTTCCTTGGCCTTGCTCCTCACAGGCAAAGAGGTAACTTCAGCTGCTGCAGGGAGATCACATAGTCTTAGAATATGCAGAACACTGCAATCCACCATTCTCTGCTTGTGAAAGAGAGAACAGGAACAGTCTGCTGCTGCTCTCCTATTTGTGACCCAGATGAGGAGGGCAGCAGGAAATTTCCACAATGGAATTCCATCACTGGAATTTTTTCTTCTTACCAGACTGAGATTCTGAGTAGATGAGAATTCTCAAATACAGTTTTTCAATGGTTATTAAAAATGAAAGTATTCAAGGCCTGCAAGACAGCTCAGGAGACTAAGCACCTGCTTAGGCAAGCATGAGGAATGGGGTTCGATCCCTGGAACCACATGCTGCACCTGCCCCGCCCTGGGTACATGTTTGAGCTGGTCACCTGAGACCGGGCATGGTCATGCGTGCCTGTAATCCCACCACTGGAGAGGCTGAAAACACTAAGGATCCAGCTGCATAGCGAGACCCTATACCAAATACATTTTTTTGAAAAACCCCACGGTATTCTATATAGTTTTTGAAAGTAGTCAGGTGATTTCAGTAGGTACCTGGCATTAACTTTTTATTCAACTCACCATAAATCAAAACATTCTGTCTCTAGTTAAAAGTTGACTGGGCTCTCTCTTTTTTACTGGTGAGGAATTAGATCTTTACAAATTCTACCACTAGGATGAATAGAGTGATTTGTTCCAATGGTGTTTGTAGATAGGCTATCATGTCTGCATCTTGTATAGCAATTAACCACTGAGAGGAATGTATGCAATGTGTTAATTATTGAAACTGTCCTACCAATTTGATTTGAAACTGTCTCATTGCTGTTTATCAATAAAATTATGGAAAAAAATTTGTAAAAAAATTTTTAAAAAAAGAAAGAAAAAATTCTACCACTAGGGCTGGCCAAATAGCTCAGCAGATTAAAGTACCTGCAAGCAGGTGCAGGGGCTGGGGGTTCAATCCCTGGGCCTGCTGTGCCGGCCCCACACCCCCCAGGGGTGCACTGAGATGGACACGCACCTATAATCCCAGCTCTTGGGAGGCCATAAAGAGGTGGATCACTACGAGTCCGATCTAGTAGTGAGACCCTGAACACCCGTAGACCCTACCCTAAAATTTTTTTTAAAAAAATTCTACCACTAAGCCAAGTATGCTGCCTCACACCTACTGTAATTCCAACACTCAGAAAGGAGGTTCACTGCAAGTTGAGGCCAGCGTGGGATACCTAGTAAATTCAAGACCAACCTGAATTACTTAGCAAGATCCTGCTGCCTCCAAAAACAAAAGTTAAACAAAACATCCTACCACTAATACAGTAAATATAGTATTAGAATAAACCAGTATTAAGGTGTCACTTACTTAGAGTCCACCCAAGTCATACAGTGATGACCTTTGGCATGTGCGCTGCAGCGGGCACACAGAGTCCTCTGTCAGCACACAAGCCAAGTCACCCCAGCAGCTGAGCACTAAGTAATAACTATTTTTTTCCTAAAACTTCAGTATTCAGGTTTAATTGCAATAGTGGCACTTTATAACATGTAAGTGGGTTTTGGGTTATAGCTCAGGCACTTGGTCTCAAAAAGGTTCACTACCACTGTCCTAATGTATACTTAGGGTAAGTTTCAACCAATGAATGTAATTATGTAGCTACTGCCATAATCAAGACATAGAACATTTTTAGCACTCCCAATGTTCCTTAATGCCCTTAGTACTGTTTCTATGAAAGAAAGAAAACCTCAAGTTTTAGACACAGGGAAAATTTCTGTAAGATAAACTTGGAAAGTAATCAAGTGAGAAACTAGGAAGCACACTAAGACAGACATAAACATTTCTTACAGTATTAATAGTGAATATCAGATACAATATGAATGTCCACAAACAGGAGACAGATTAAATAAACTGAGGTATATCCAGACAATGTGCTATCTGAAGTCACTAAAAATACATCTAATCATCACATTTAATAGGAGAAACATTTAATGACACAGGAGAATCATCGTACATCACTAATTGTAAAAAGGCAGGCCACGGGCTGGAGAGATGGCTCAGTGGTCTAAAGCACCTACTTAGAACAAGCTTAGCAAAAGCATCAGGGACCGCGGTTCAATCCCCCAGCACCAC